CTCTCTCTCTCTCTCTCTCTCTCTCTTTATTCTTAAATTTACCGAATCTCTCATGAGATGACTTCTCCAAAACTCTCTCAATTTACACCATTTTAAAAGGCATTATTCGGCCTCGTACATTTCTCGCATTCGTTCTTGCCGCATATGTAATCGGGTGTTCAATTGACTCCTCTCTTAATACGTGACGAGATCGAGTCGAGGTCCATCGTCTAAGGACTAAGACAGCGTGGCGATTTGACATGTCCTCTGTTCAAGCTCGCTATCCTCGTCGGATTCGCTGGCCCAGGAGGACCCGGCGTCCTTACTCGCGACGTAGGACAGCCAAAGTCTATTGGGTCGCCACACTAGAACGCAGGACAATGGTAGGTAAAACAACGCCTTTCGCCAGCCCCGCGTGGCCGCCAGAACGCTGGACCAGCAACGCGAGCGAGGGAATCCTCGTTCCTGAGAAAACAAAATGTCAACATACATATATCGTTTTCTCATAAAAAGGATCCGCGAGATTAAAAGAATCATTTTCTGGAGTGACGTTTTAAATAAAGAATTTAAATAAATTAAACAATTCGATATATCTAAAACTTTTTTTTATCCCCTTTATTATTCCACTGTTATTTATTTTAGGATTATTTTAATTTTATTTTAATTGGCTCTATTTATTTTAATTGCGTGTTGAAAACTGCATCGATTTAAGATTATATCCTATTTTTCTTGCCAATGTGTATTTGACACTTTATAGTTACGGTTCTTCAGAGCGAGATGTTCCTCAGCACGGAGAAAAATTTATAGTAAATATTACTATGGTGTCGCACTAGCTGCGGACCATCGAAGAATTTTAAGTTAAATTACTATGTTTATGGTAAAAATTACGTTATTTAATCGTTTTTAAAACAATAATTATAGTATTTTAACTTGAAATTCCTCGATGGTCCGCAGCTAGTGCGACACCATAGTAATATTTACTATAAAATTTTCTCCGTGAGATAGTTGGTGCAACATCGTAAAAGTATTTACGTGATCAAAAGTTATCTGACGTTCGCGGAACTAGAGAATTTACATGATTTCGATAAACAAAACTTTTGCGAGAACGACGTCTTCCGCTGAATGCCGCAGGCAAGCAATCCAGCCTTTAGTCTTGATTATGACCCCATCAATTCCACTTAAGTTTCCTTCTTAAAGAGGCGGAACGGTAAGACGATTTTTCCGTCGATACAACTTTCAAATACTCTTACCGAGTACCCTCTTTACGGAGATTAACAAACTAAATTCCGAATGGGCAGAAAAGATCAAAATAAAAGTCCGACTTGTCGTACCTGCACCAGTATCCCGCACATTCGGTATACATGTATTTCAAAAAAAGATGTGAAATCTTTAAATTGCGTCAATTGCAAAGAAAATATATAGATTGCTATGAAAAATAATTGAAAAAGAATTTAAGAGGTAACAATACAAAATAAAAATATTTAATTAAAATAAATAAATTTTTCTTGCAAAAAACGCAAAGACGTCATTTTTTTCACTAGTGCATATATCTTAGGCACCAACCACAAAATTAGTGAAAAAATAACGTCTTTGCGTCAGTATGGCGAGTACTCAGAGACGCCGAAACGGTATGGCATGTTCATATTCGTTGATAAACAATTAAAATCTAGCTCTCCACAAAAAATTAGCTTGGTGTGCGAAATTCAACATTGCATTAAAAAAAACGATACGTTCTCATCAGTATGGCGGACTGTTTGCGACGCGGCATCGATATGGTGCATACGGCCCGCGTACTTTTGCTCACAAATAAACAATATAAAACAAGAATCAGATTGGTGCCCATTCCCCAAAAGCACAGTTTTTGTAACACATTCAAAAAATTACGCTGCGCAAAAGCGACACCTCCAGGCCGCCATACTTGCGTTTTCGTGTTCCACATGACACCGGCTATCGTCCCAAAAAGTTTCGTCGTGGTGCCGATCACACATGTTTTTTGTCGCTGGTTCCCGGTCTTATATCTACGACTATGGTGAGTATTAAACAATTGCCAAAATTATCTCCATTGACGTTAATCATTGTAGATCGATTCGCTTATCTAAAGCTCACTCCAGATTGATAATTCAATTCGTATCAAAATTTAGAATAAAATCGTACACAATTTTATCGTGCAAACAAAAATTAAAGAAAAAATGACAAAATATATGTATAAAATATACATACACATACACACTACACACATATATAAAATACAATATATATAATAAATGTTTTATATACACATATACGAGTATACTTTGTACACAATTTATAATAAGTATTTATAATAAGTATATAATTTATTATATAATTAAGTATATAATTTAATTATATAATAAAAATACTGACATACACGGTGTTTCTTAAAGACCACGTACCCACTAACTCTGTAGCGTTATTTCTTATCAAAAATTGAGTCGAAAAGTCCTGAGAGTCAATTTTCTCTATAATGCTTAATGAAACATTAAGAAGTAATTATATTGAGTAAAATCAATCCAATCAGCACTTTTAGCCGAACGTGAGCCGCGCGGCCGTATAGTAGTGTGCGCTCACGTATACTATATACCAGGCGCGCAAATCACTGATGACGGCTCGGCTAAAAATGCTGATTGGATTGATTTTACTCAATAATTGCTGCTTCATTAAGCATTATAGAGAAACATGACTCTCAGGACTTTTCAATTCAATTTTTGAAAAGAAATAACACTATAGAGTTAGTAAGCGGTCTTTAAGGAACTATACAATATAATAAAATACACATCGTGCATTAAAATACGCAGCGCATAAAATTACAATTAGATTGAATTCTAGCCTTTGCAACGGGCAAGTTACAAATCGTCTAAGGCGGGCTAAAGCTTCCTCAAACATTGAAGTTTCCGTTAAAAGTCTCTTAATTCTTTTCTTGGAAGTATTTTGAGCTTAACTGCATTTAAAGTCCTAGGAAGCCTCCTACGCGTTTTTCTGTTTTAAATCTTTGTAACTCGGATCCTAATCAAAATTTTTAGACTACAATTGGTACTTAAGAGTAAAACGATCGAGTTGTTGTTTATGGGATATCTGAAAAAATATATATATATAAAAGTTGAAAGTGGACATAACAGAAGTAAAAATGATTCCTGTCTTTTTACTTTTTACTCTGTGTGTGTATGTGTGTGTGCGTGTGTGAGATTTCGTGAATTTTTTAATAAAACAAATTTATATAATTGTTGTTTAATAAGTGATTTATAAAATCTAAGAAATTCTAAAAAAAATCTACTTATATCGATAGACAGAATCATTAACTACATCACGGCGGCTTATAAACCGGTTTAATAACTATATACCACGGTCGTGAATACAGGTCTGGAAACTCGTCCGTTTTTTGGTGGTGGGGGTGACTCGCTTAATGACGGATATTTTTATAGATTTGTCATGTGACCGCGCCCGTCGCTGCGTTGTAAGGATTATTATTTATCACGCATTCGCGTTGTCACTATAATCCGTTTCACGTTTCACCGTAAAGGCTCCCGCACAATGAAAAATATAAAGAACGAAGAACAGATATTAGTAATTAAAAATAAAAAATCAGGAATAAAGCTGGTGTAGCATTAATACGCACGGCTTCCAATAGGTTAAAAATCTATTGCCTAAGCTGTGTTATTCCCTATTTCTGTTGCCTGTATTTTTCATCCTGCATCTAATTTTCTTGATTCTTTAGTCTTAATCGCTAATATCTGTTCCTTGTTCCTTATATTTTTCATCGCGGGGACCTTAATCAAAACAATATTTTTATAATAAATGTAAGATGGAAAATAGTATATGCAAAAAGCAGCGAGTTTTATAAATAAGTTGGCTCAATCATTGCAACGTTTTAAATAAGTTCAAATGTGGATGAGTGGTAGCAAGAGATCCGGCTTGCAGTCTTACCGTTTTTAGTTCAATTCTGATTATTTTTTACAATTATTGTACGAAAAGTCAGATAATGTGTTATTTAATTATTACGCATTGTAGTTTGTAAAATAGTATATCACCCCGTGACACGGTCCCCGCGATATTCGTAAGATCAAATAAAATAATTAATCATCTCCCGTTGTACATATAGAAAATAATGTTTATTTCTCATATTGAGATAAATACAAAGGTAATAAATGTAAATTAATAAAAGACATGATTACTTTTTAAAATTCCACTTCCGTTTTTTTATTCACAGAGTGATTGTTTATGTTTACAATTATAATTATGTTTAAATTATAATTACATTTGTTTATCATGGAATATCATTATCAATTGAATCACTATCTAGGACTTTGTGCGTTCGTTACATTCAATATGTCAATATGTTATATGTTATATAACATATATGACATATGTCATATGTCATGTTATATGTCAATATGTTCAATATGTATTTGCGTTATTTAAAAAATCTTTAATCTCCAGCGCTCCAAATAGTGATAGTGATAATGTCAACTACATAAAATATGACTTCATTAAGCGGGTCACCCCCACCACTAAAGTTTCCAGGCCTGTATACCGTATACTATAATCCAAATTTTTTCTTTTTTTTTTATCATAATGATCATTTAGGTATGAGCCTTTTTGATACTTAAACAATTCTTTTAGTATATAAATATCAAATTTAATCAATATAAAATTAATATAAAATTACTTCAAAATCAATATACAAAATCAATATAAAATTAATTCAAATGTTCAGAGTATCAAAGTATAAGTCCATATTTAAATAATCATTATAATCAAAAGAAGAAAAATTTTGGAACGGATAATATACAGTAATTATTAAACTTATTGTTAATTATAAGCAGCCGTGTGAACGTATATAGTGAATTATATGATAGAACCGCGAATCGGCCTCTCTCGTAATACGTTCGAGTTTGCGCATTATTATCCTCCCCTCCCCCTCTCCCTCCCCCCTTCCCCTCCCTATACATCGACCGGAACGACCCCCCTCCCGATGCAGTTTCTTTCCACTTCCGGCAAACGCCGCAAACGTGGTCTCCCTCTTTAGAGTTTGGAGTTCTTCGGGCGAGTTGGAGGAGTGTAGAGGAGCCGGAGGAGCGTGACACACGTGTAAACGGCGTTACTCCGTATTGTTTTCCGTTGTACCCTTGTGTTTTCGCCCCCTTTTTTTCTGGCGCACGCACATATCGCCTCGTATCAAGCGCATATACTTCTCTTCTTTGTCCTTGGTACGTTGAATTTCCGTCTCTACCGTGACAAAGTGCCACTAACAAGTCACTAAAGGGCCGACTGACCAAGGTTGCGTCCCGACGTTCACTGCTTGTCACTGCCAGTATACTGAAAATCTATATAGTTCCGTTATACGTACGTAAATTACACAGATTTTCAGTACTGGCATTAGTGAATGTTGGAACGTAGTTCAAGTATCTCTTTAAAAAACCATCTTTCCTTCGGGCGTGACATGATGATTGATGATGATTTTATCTGTTATTTATTCATCTATTAAAATGCGATTTATCTGTACACGTGTATGCGTGCTTGTAGATGGAAATTAATGTTACGTCACGCATATCCAATTGATTTTTTATCTTGAGCGTGTTACATATGCAAAATTATCGGTTATGGTTTAGTTATTTGTGTAACAAGTGAGGTAAGATGAAAATTCCTGGGTGCGGAGTTTACGCACGAGCCGAAGTGCGGTAACCGCATCCGGGAATTTTCATCTTTACACACGGCTTACACTCCCTATTTTATGTTGCAAGTGCCTGGAAAGTGGTCTATCATGCACGCGTAGCGTGCGTAATGGGGCACTTTCCATGCACGTGTTGCATAAAATTCATTGTTAATTTTATCGAAATTATATACGAAACGTTTCTCGGCGATATTTATGTACATATTTTAGATAGTGCTTTCTGCGAGTGCTGACGTTGACGAAAGAAAAACAAAGGAGAGCGAAAACAGTGAAAGAAAGCATTCCTTCACGCAGCGCTCCAAAGTAGTCCAAAGACTGAAACTTTCGTTTAGGAATAAAGAGAAAGAAACATCGACATGTCTTCGAGTTCTGCTTTTGATTTTCAAAAGATTCGATGAATCTAAAAAAGGGAGAGAGAAAGAGAATGTTGCAAGCATATCGCAGTAATGTTTTCTTTCAATTAAAAACAATTTATTTTAACTTTTGTGACCTTAAAAAATATCGAGGCAGAGAAAAATAAAAAATATTATTGCTAGCTAATTATCTCGTTATTCCAGTTATCATTAACTGTTTCTCTAGAATAATAACACAGTGAATTGTATAATTATTGGTTTCAATGCAAATTTTAGCTCTTTGACATTCACAACAAGGCTCTTTGCCTTTTATACGCGTAAAAATTCAGGAAACCGAAAAAAATAAATGTGACTGATAAAAAATTATGCAAATGCATTTGTAATAACAATTTCCGATAATGCCTTTCTGTTTGCAGAAATATTTCGCTTAGATAAGAATAATTAAGTATGGATTTATTCGTAATCATCAGCCTGCTATTTATAGTCTACTATTCCGTCTATCTCATTCTACCCTCCTTATTGGACTGCGATATATTGCTTGCTTTTAAGGAAAAGTACGGCAAACCCATATGTAAGTATATCTACTTTTGCACACACTTAAAGAATAACGAAGAACTTTGACCAACTTTTCGTCAGTCAAGTAAAACAATAATACGAAATTCTATTTATCTTTAATAAAATATGTAGTACATTTATCAGTATAACTTAAAGAGTATCTCTAATAGAATATATATAGTTTTAAATAAATAATGCTATGAGAATTCTCTTCAGTAATGCATGAAAGTTTATCAATACGTAATTAAACATGAAACTAATATCCAACAATGTTATCTCTACTTAAAAAAAGAATTATCAAAATGCAAACAACTGCGAAGATAACATAGTCGGACGTTAGTTTTGTTTGCTTACTAATAAATTTTCGCGCGTCACTAAGCTAAAGAGAATCCTTATATCATTATTTATTCAATAATTCTAACTATAATGAAAAATGTGTATTAAATATCAAATTATATAATTAATATAATAAAGATTATATAATTCATGTTATTTGTATTATTATACAATTTGTATTTATTGTATATTTTTCATTATATATGTAGAACGTTCTTTCGAAATCTATCGCAAATTATAAACCGACCGAATTTATCGAGTGAATAAATAATAAACAAATCGAACAATTTCGCTTACGTTGCATATACTTTCAGCTTCATTGAAAGGCAAAACAGTATGGATAACGGGTGCGTCTGCGGGTATCGGAGAAAATCTGGCTTACGTCCTGGCCAAAGCGGGCTGCAAATTAATCCTGTCCGCTCGGAGAGCCACTGAATTAGAAAGGGTGAAGAAAACATGTTTGAAAGGTATAATCGATATTTTTCGTAAACTTTCTATAAAAGATTCTTCGCGTTATAACCTTATAACGATCCTTGTCGATTATTTTAATTGACGCAAAATATCCTTCGACGATCCGAAATGTGTGGAATTAACTTGCTATTGTTGCGAGCGACATTCTCCCCTAATAATTTAAGTCAAATCGAAGAATAATCTTATAGAATACGATTTACATTCATTATTGATTTTTCTTGATAAATAATAAATTCCTCTTCAGAGAACAAGTGCTTGACCGACGACGATGTGGAAGTCTATCCTATGGACATACTCGACTTGGACTCGCACGAGAAAGCGTTCCAGCATGTGATTAACAAATTTGGAAAGGTATTCTATAAGTATCCCACATTTTTTTTTGCGCCGATAAAAATCAATATACCTACATATAGGCTCGTATTTTCTTATCGATAAAAGTGAACTGAGAATACGGGCCATAGTCTGTAGAAAGCCTATTGAATGCTTTTCATTGCGTGCCTCTGTATATATATTTATCACCTCTATTATTAATTATTATGGCCTTGTCACGTGTCTTTCTACGTTTCAGTTGGATATACTCGTCAACAATGCCGGCCGTAGTCAAAGAGCGAGATGGGAAAACATTGAGATAGCGGTCGATAAAGAAATGTTCAACCTGAATGTATTCTCCGTCGTGTCCTTAAGTAGATTAGCAGTCAAACACTTTCTAAAAATAGGCGGGGGTCATATTATTAATACCTCGAGTTTGGCCGGAATTTTACCGGTTCCGATGTCAGCGACCTACTGCGGCACTAAACATGCCTTACATGTAAGCATCTTCAAATTGTATAATTTCGTATTTGTTGAATATAACAATTTGCAACTTCGCGAAACTTGCTGTCGCATATGTGTCAGGAATACTATATTTTATGTACTTTTTTTAAACAGGGCTATTTCAAACCGATGTTTATGGAATACCCCGATAAGCATATCCACGTAACAATGGTTTGTCCGGGTCCAGTGCAGACCGAGTTTCTGCCCGAGAGTTTTACGGAGAAATTTGGCGAGGTACGTATCGTAAAAATCCTTGTTTGTAAATCGCTACGGAATATATGATGTGAGACATGAAAATTGTTACTGACGTAACTGTAATAATTGTACAGAAAGTTGAAGTAAAACTTCGTCTCACATCTTTCTAAAACTATTTCAATGAAAGTTTGTTCCAAATAAATAATTGACATTAAATAATTGTGGTCTGTTCAAAAATTTTCTCGTCAACGCTTCAGCACTTCAAGATAATACTACTGCTGCTTATGAAACTCATAATTAGTCTTGAAAATCGCAGAATACACGCAACAAACTCGTAAACAAAGCGATGCAGCATGATAACTATAATCACAATAGAAAAACGCGGTAAGCGGGAGAGATTACTTGCCAATGTCGCTGCCAGGCAACATCGCTTATCGCACATCGGTGTGTCATCGCGTTGACGCGCTATTATAAAAGTTCGGAAAATTTTTGAACAGACCACGTATATATGATACATACACGTGTATGCTAATTGCTGACCGTACGATTATGATTTTTAAGAAATATGGAGTAAAGACGGATACATCTAAAAGCAAAGTCAGCGCGGAACGTTGTGCAACTTTAATGGGCGTCGCGATTGCGAATAAACTGGACGAAGTATGGATCTCCACGGCGTCCACGTTACGAATCACATACATGTCTTATTGTTTCCCTTATTTCACGAAATGGTATATGTCTTTTACATAACGTAAAGCTCTATATAGATTAAATAAACCAAAAGATTCGTTTATTCTTTCTTTCTTATAGAACTCTCAGATTCACCTCCGATAATCTATAAACCGCGATAGAATTCGGGGTAGAATTGTTCGTTTTATGGAAAACACAAGAATTTGAATGTATATGCATATCAGTATTTATAAAATTGGATTCTGTTGGAAATTGCAGACTAAAATGGTCTTTACACACGAGATAGTAAAATCGAAAAAAGAAAACAAACGAATCTTTTGCTCAATCCTAATATTATCGCATTATTCTAATTGCGTTGCTTTCTTTTACAAAGGTTGATAAAGAATTTAGGTACGAAATACCTGCTGAAATTACGAGATGCTAATGCTGCCAAGGATTAATCACGTTGTCGTCAGTGGATATTCTAGTGACAATAATAACTATTTTTGCATTACGTTTTGCATTACTAAACTGTTCTTCACTTCTATGAAGTTACGCGAAAAGACTTTTATATGATTTGTATATACATTTCTCATTAAATATTTCTCCATGATCTTATACATTGATTTTTTTTTTATCATTTTATTACTCACGGTTCTGCTCTTCGATTAAAGAAAAGAGTGTATTTCATCTGCTATATTTTTTACGTGTACATTTATACATATTTGCTTAGCCACGAATTATTTATCAGATTTACGTCGATTCCTCATATTGCATCAGCCGTTCTCTAGCCCTTTTCCCTCTCAGAATAGCTTCTTTGAATAACGAACAATAGAGCTTGACGGCAGACGGAGAATCGTCGTTTCCGGGCACGGGATATGTTATAAGATTCGGATTGCAGTTAGTGTCGACTATGCCGACGCTGGGTATGCACATCTTCGCCGCGTGTCTCACCGCCGTGTGCTCGGACATGACGGTGTCGAGAGTACTAAGAAAGATGCACAGATCCGGCAATCGCGTCGTTGCCTTGAACTGATTTCTCGAATTGGGGAACAACCCGTGCCGCCAGAATCTCGTCTGCGAAAATTCCTTACATTCCTTAGCCGTCTTGTCCACTAAATGCGTGACCTGAGGATTGCGCGAGATGAACAGGATAATGCCGCCCCTGAAAGCGATATGGGCAGTGAAGTTCAACGCCTGTCTCAACAATTCAGCGGTTTGGTCTAAATCGATTATCAGGTGTCCCAATCTGGAGCCGAATACAAATGTCTCCATGTGTTCGTTCAACGCGGTCTCCTTGTGGCCGAAGTGCACTCTCGCGTCGTACAGATCCTTCACGGTGAACAGCTTGTGCACTTGGAAGAAGTCTGGATGTGTCAGCGGATCTAACGTCGTGACCTCTGAGCCTTCTGAGACATCAGATAGATCTAGGTGTAACGAGGAATATTGCGTTATAAAAATGATATTAACATTTATCTCCTGTAATTGTAAAGGATGAAAGATTGTATAGAAATAAAGAATAAAGTATTCGAGATAAATTTAGATACATATATAGATATAAACATATATATGTTATGAAGTTTACCGGATTTCTCTGTACTCGGTTGAGTCTGAGTCGATAGCTGACATCGTTGTAGAGAGGTATTACAGATGACAGGTCGCAAACATTGCCACTCTCTCGAGACTGTAAACGGAAACATGTTGCTAAATACATCACTGTAGGAGTGACATTGTTCTCGCGTATAAATAGAGTAAAATTATAGTCACAGTTGGATGAGAGTATTCGCCTCGCGAGTATGGACATTGTGTACGTCGACGCTATTTTCGTTCCTTCACCTGTATACTTTAATTCAACACTAGACGAAAAACAACGACAATTATATTGACAAATAAGTCAGCAGAGGTTATGTAGCTCACCGCATGGAAAGTGGAGTACAAAGAGGGGAACTCAAAACTGCTCAAAACAAGGAAAATAGAATATAAAGAGGCGAAGCTTGTAGGACGAATTAAGTTTCTGTGAATATCAGAGAGAAACCTGAGAGAGGCCATCCCGGTCTTTTTCGTGTGTTGCTGTGTTGCATTTTCCGACGCGCCGCCTGAGAAAGTGCAACTCAACTACGTCGTATCGCTCGGTAACCGCACATGGTTTGCGTCCGTGCTAATGGTTCGTGTCTGAACTAGCCAGCTGGAAGGGATATTATACTGGCCGCGGCGGCCGCGCGCTCGGCCGGCCCGGGAGTTGCATCTGATTGCACCTGTTGATGATATTTTTACCTTATTTTATATTATATTTTTTTTTACCTTATTTTATATTATATTTTTTAAATATAGATAAATCGCGCAAAAATATCTGTTCCGCGTAAACAGCCACCGTCGCCTCGATATCCCTCACGTACTGACTGTTACTACGTTTATGCGAGCGTTACTTCTGTAGTAACTTACGATACGTCCGTCGCGTAAACGGGATTTTGTAGTAACTTACGATACGTTACTCCGCGTAAACGAATGATATATCGTAAGTTACTACAGAAGTAACGCTCGCGTAAACGTAGTATGAGGGAGTTACGTAATCGCCAGGCTAATGATCACTACGTGTTCGCGATATATGTATATAACACTCGCGTTTCGAGAGACAGCTACGTCGACCAGACACCACCGAGACAGAACGCAGAACGTAGAATACAGCCAGTTAAACCTGTGAAAGTTAACGAAAGATTCGGCATACGTTGTCTTTTATTGTTCGTTGAAAGTTTTCGGTATTTTTGAACCGGCCGCGGCCGCGCGCGTAGGCCGTGACGTCATGCGCCGCTCCGCGCCGCCGGCGCGGCGGATCGATACGGTGACGGTGATGTAGTAGGCAGTGTAGGCACCTGCGCAGTCCGTACTAGCGGCGTGACCGTTGAACTCGAAAGCTCCGTACCTCGAAGATCGGCGCGTTTTCAACGTTGTTTCTGGCGATGAGCGGACTTGTCACTTGTTTCCGTCAACGCTCGGAGTAGTGTTACCTGCGTGAGTGACTCAGTTATCATTCTTCCGAGGAATCTCGCACCGGTAGGAAGTGTTTGTGCTTCGCGCGCGCTCGTCACCGACGTCACCGTGCTTCGTGCTGTTTTCGGAACGCGCTCGTTTCGGTGATTGGCATTCCTGCTTCCTCGTTTCGCGGGCCGCGGGAATACGCGCTACGCGATCGAGTACCGCGCGCCGTGTGCCGTGTGTGTAAAACAATTTAGAGTGTATGAGGTGTTTATCGGAATGAACGTATCGCGCGACGCGCTCACTCGAGACGTCGAGGCGGAGGTATGTATGAACGACTTGCTTTGCAGTTTCGCGCTGTGATATTCGCGAGTGACAGTCGCTCCTCCCGCCATGTCTGGATTCGCGAAGAACGCTGACGTGCCGGACGTGTCGTGTGATTTAGCTCCGATTCTCTCCGTAGGGAAAAAGGGCTGAGAGATATTGATCGTGTCAAGTGATTCCGGTGATTCGATCGGTGATAACGGAACGCCGCGATACATCGCCCGTTCGTGAATGCTTCATAATCTCGATTTACGAGTTTGGTAACGTATTGTGCGTGCGATATTTAATTTCAACAGCGTATCTCTGATTGACGAAGTGCGTGTCTTTATTAACCGTCCGCTCGACTTGCGTAGTATCGCGCCAAGTTGCCAACATCTCGGAACATTTCGTCGCCCATTATTACGTCGCCCATTAACAACGTAACGCCGGTAACGCGGTGATGAACGCGGAACGACGCGGAGCACGCGGCGTCGCGACTCCTTCAAATTTGCATGAAAAATTCATGTTACCCGCTTTTATATTACAGAGAAAAGTACTTTTCCTTCCCACGGGTACGACCTTGGCGAGGTGGGAAGGCTCCAGTACCCAGTACGAGGATTTTACCCAAGCAAAACTCTTGTTCTGCTTGGATAAAAATTCAAAGACGGGGAAGCTAACGTACCCTCGTCCGCCGATTTAATTGAATGAACGAACCGCAGCCGGTTCGTCGCGTTTGCTTCGGGAGTGCCGTTCAAGTAATCGGACTAAAGGACTTTTCTAAACGGGAGTGCCGTACAGTATCGCGCGAGAAAGACTTTTAATGAAATTAGTCCGCGCGCGATTGTAGTTTATTATCCGCGAGTGTTTCTCGCGAGTGTCCTGTGCGGTGAGACGATGAAGCCTAAGGGCCAATTTCACCAACCACAGTTAGCTTAACCGACGGTTAAAGTTAGCAGGATTGACCAATAAAAAGTAGGGTGGATTCATTTCTATTGGTCAATTCTGTTAACTTTAACCATCGGTTAAGCTAACTGTGGTTGGTGAAATTGGCCCTTAGTATCCCCTGAGAGGAGGAGGAGGCCTGGGAGAGGCATCGGGCACCGGCGGAGCAACCTTGGGGTGAGTATCATCTCTTTATATCTGCGTAAAATTAAAATAGTTTTTTTTTATTTATTCGAATTGTTTTATCTCGATAAATTAAAAATAATTAGAGAAAAAGATTATCTAAAATTTTACTCTTATAAAGATCGTTTTCGGTGAACACAGATGATTGTGTTGCTAAATATTTTATTGAAAAACAAATTAGTTGCGCGTAAAAATTATATTTTGAAAAATGTTGATTATTTTGAACGCTTCTTTAATTTGAATCTTATGTTTGTATGTTACAGTATCATCGTAGCTACGTGGCTGAACAACTCCGCCCGTTGCACATCGGCGTGGTGAGTCAGAATTTTTTTTATTGAAATGACAAATCTACGATTAGTCAGATATAGAGCCATTGTATCTCGGAACATATCGACGCTTATATATATAAATTAATTAAGTCAGGGTTTTAGGAAGTCGCGTCCGCGTCGCGTATACGTCTTCCCCGGGAACGCCGCCGCCGCGGTGCCGGGTGGAAGATCCGTCATGCCACGCGCCACGTCAAATCTGCACATACACATATATACGTAGGGACATGCGATTTCAATATGCAATATTGCGACATTTTAGAATACTCTGAACATATTAACTTCCGCAAATTTGGAGATGTCTATCTATTTCTAATTTTATTATATTTTTCAGTCTTTTCTACCCCTATTTCATATGTAATTCTTTTAAATTCGGTTGATTAGACTTAGTTTTATATGCGATCAAAGTTATGGATCTTTGATCGCGTATAAAGCTGGGTCTAATCAACCAAATCTTAAAAAATT